TCTAGTATAAGCTTTATAAAGTACTAATTATATATAGTAAATATATAAAGAGTAGAATATCTAATTTATTATAATATCTAGCTTTAAAGTAATATCTTATAGTATAAAAGAAGATAGTAAATAAGAAAAAAATTATTATAAGTTTCCCTATAATATTTTACTATAGAGGTATAGATGATAAAGAAGCTAAATCTATATTAGATAAGATGGGTAGAATACTTATATATATTTAATTTCTTAATTAAATATTACCTAGGGACTAGCAACCCTATAGATATACTTAGTTATTATTTAAACTATATAGATATAATAGAAATTAAGGATATAGACCTACTATAGCTGCTAATATTATAAAATAAACTATATATAAGGCTATTAAGACTAGATAAACACCTCCCATAAAAAGAAATATAAGTATATATAATATAGCTTAGGGGGGTGTAAGATATGAACTAGGAGTATCTTATAGATATCTAAATAAAAGCTACTACCTATAGATAGAATATACTATTAGATAAGAGAGATACTACTAGTAATATAGGAGTTCTAGATCTCCTAGTACTATAAAGTAATATATATAAGATACTTACTTCTAAAATAGCCTACTCTATAGATATTCTAATAGCTATAGTAGATCTGCTATAAATAATTTAAGATATTAATATATTTATATAGTAGAAACTACTTAATATAGTAGAAGGGAATATAGATAAGCTAAGTTACTTAAAATAGAAGATTAAAAATAAACTTCTTTAATATAAAAACTATATCTATATGCTAAAGTCTACAGCACTATATATAGAGATAATAAAAATAAATTATAATAATCTATAGAGGGGTTATTACTAGTATAGATATACCTTAGAAAGTATTAAGCACAGATACTTTTTGTGGAAGCACGTAACTATTCATGTTGTAATTCCATTGATTGATGATCTCTTTGAAGTGCTACCTACAGGGGAGATGGATAAACAACCCACGTCACGTGGTGGTCCTACCACACTTTTAGTATAAGTTAGTATAAGATATTAAGGTGTATATTAAAGAGTATAATATTTATTAAAGAATTATAGTATATAGGTATAAGCCTTATAGTAAGCTAGAACCACTACCTACTCTTATAAAAGTAGTACAGTAGGTAAGTATAGACTTTATTATAGGCCTTTCACCATTAAAATAATAGAGGAAGATATATAATATAGTAATAATAATTATTAGTCTCTATATAAAGTACTTACTCTATATCCTAATAAGGAAAGATATTAATATAATATAGCTAGTAGAAATATTCTATAAGAAGGTTATTCTACTACTAGATATATTAAAGAATCTTATATTAGATAGGGGCAGCCTATTTACTAGTATATTCTAGTTAACTCTCTATTACTATCTAGGAGTATATAGAAGACTATTAATAGCCTTTTATCTATAGACTAATAGGTAAATAAAATATATAAACCAGGTCCTAGAGTACTATCTATAGGTATATATTAGCTAGATATAAGATGACTAGACTAGATAGTTACTAATAACATAGTTTATCTATAATAATATAATATATAGTATGCTAGATATATCACCATACTTTATACTTATAGGTTTTAAGGTAAATCTATAGATTAATATACTAGCCCTAGAAGATATAAAGATATCTACTATAGTAGATAGAGTAATAGAACTAGATAAGAATTATATAAAATTATATATTCTACATACAGAGTTAAAAGAGTAGATAAAGAAGTAGTATAATAAGAAATATATTAAGATATTACTAAATATTAAGGACTATATTATGCTAAGAGTAAAGAATATTATTATCCTAAGACTAAACTAGAAGCTTATAAGTAGATTACTTAGTCTATTCTAGATTATAAAGAAATAGGGAAAATAAATATATAGACTATGCTTACTAGAATTATAGAAGATATATAATATATTCTATATATTACTACTTAAGCCCTACAAAGGAAATACTAAGTAAGTACTATACCTAGGACCTATAATTATTAAGAGTAGTAAAGAATAGGAGATAGATACTATCCTAAGATATTAAAAAGTATATAATAAAGATTAGTACCTTATCTATTAGTATAGATAGGAAGATAAGTATAATATATAGGAATTCTATAAATATATTAAAGATACTAAAGCCTATAAGTAGTTTATAAAGTCTATAAGGTAGATAGTTAAATAGGAGAACTTTATTAATTAAAAAATCTAAAGACTATATCTATAATATAAATAAGAAATAATATAATAGCTTAACCCTAAAGAGGGAGTAAACTATAAGTTATATAATATAGTTAGTCTAGTACTAGTATAGCTAGAAGAATATAGACCTTACTTATCTAAAGAAAAACTAAACTATAGCAGCCTAAATACCTATAAGAGTTAAAGAGTAGGTATAGATATTAAAGACCCTAGTATAGATGTAAAAGGAGGGGTTAGAGATGTAGTAATAGTGATAAATACTAATATAGGGAGGGCCTTATATAGTAGAGGACTATTACTTATAGTAACCTAGGCCTAAAAAGCCTAAGCTATATAAGTAATAGCCTTAAGAGTAAGACCTATAATATAAGGATATATAATCTCTAAGACTACCTAGATAGTAATAATAGTATTAGCCTTAAGGAGTATACTAGTAGGGAACTTTAAAAGAAGAGTAAAATTAGTATCTATAATAAGAATAGAGTATAAGGGAAATACACTAACTAATAAGACTAGTAAAGAGTCTAATAGTAGAGATACTTAGCCTTATTCTATATATAGCTATTATAGAATAGTAATAGCACCCCCCTACCCTATCTAGGTACCTATAGATACCAATAATAATACTCTATAGTAGGAGTACAGCCTAGACTAAGAAGAGGGGTAGGTAATAAAGATATAGAAGATAGTAGTAATAGAGATAGGGATAGTATAGCAGAGGTAGAAGTAAAGATAATAATATTAATTAGAATACCCCCCTAGCTATAAGATATACTATACCTATAATTAGTATAAGTAGTAGTATATTTATAACTAGGAGAATAACCCTAGCAGTTATAAACTAGAGTAAAAGTAGTAGTAATAGTAATAGTAAAAGTAGTAGTATAGTATCTAGTATAGATATAATAGGTAGTAGAGCTATAAGAATAAGTAGTAGCTATATTTCTATATATAACGTTAGTATTTATCTAAATTCTAATAAATATAGTAAGAGATTTAATATATTTATAAGCTAATAGGGCTAATAGCTATTAATATAGAAAAGAAATAAAGAATATATACTTAGAAGAATTTTAAACTAAAGGAAATAATATAAATAAAGCTGTAGGGAATATTAAATATATAAAATAAAGTAAAGAGAATAAAGAAAATAAGCTAACTATTAGAGATATTATAGGAATTCTAGCTAAAATAAAGATAAAGACTATAGAATACTAGAATCCTTTATAAAATAAAGAGTAGATGCACCCCTACTTAAGAGATAATAAAATAATAAGAAAGAAAGCCTCCTTAATATAAAGAGTAATAACTAGAAGCTATCTTTATACTAGAAGCTATATATACTTTATTAAAGTAATTATATAATTATATTAATATAAATAAATTATATTAACTTATAATAGAAGAATCAGTAACTATATATACTTATAAAAGAAGGAGATATAGATCTTATAATTATAAAGATAATTATATAAATAATAAAGAAGTATATAATAAAGAAGAATAAAAAAGATTACTTATAAAATAATAGATTTAATATTACTAGAGAGGGAGAAGAAGGAGAAGAAAAATATTTATATATCTATAAAGCTAGAAGTATCTATAGCTACTATACTAAGCTAAGTAAGTAATAAGTAAAGCTATTTAAATATATTTATTATAGATAAGATAATAAGATTAAACTACTATATAATAGTATTTACTAAAATAAGTAATACTTTAGTTAGTAATAATATTACTAACTTATACTAGTAAAAATAATAGAGTAATAATAATATCTATTATTTAATCTAACTAATAAGTAGATATAGTTTATATAATAAAAAGAGATATTATAATTAACCTCTAGCTACAGGGACACAGTATATAAAGAGGGGAGATAACTATTAGATATAGAGAATATATATATAGTAAACTATAGGTGGTTATATAGGTAATATATAACCTATAGAGATATTATCTCTGCTAAGGTGCAAGAGATGCTCACACCTTAGTAATTAGTTTAACTATAAAGACATTACTACTACCATGCTATCTACCACATAATAGAGAGTATCCTATAAGTGCTCTCACACAAAAGCAAAGAAGTATCTAGTTCAGACTCTTCTCATAGATCTTAGTATAACTAATGAGATACATCATGCTTTCTACTACCTAAATAGATTTTCCATTCCCAGCCTGTATCATTCTTTTGTAAAGGATATCTTCCCATGAACTACTGTTTCTCTAACTGCTTAATTTTTTAATTTTTAATTTTTTAATTTTTTAATTTTTTTTGGTGTTTCTCATCATTACATATATGCCTATTATGTCTAGCACCACCTGTTGTACTTATTATTATTATACTTTATTACTAGTTTTACAAAGAACAACTATTTTCTTTGACATACCAGCGCATGCTTGTAGAGCACGTACCAGTGTTATTCTAACATAGGGGGTGTCATTTTAACATCAGCACATGTATAATAGAAGAGAACTTCCTATAGAAAGAAAGATAAGAAGGGAATCAGGGAGGAAATCTAGGGACTACTATAGTAGGTAGACATTAGGAGGGGGAGGGGATCCATACAACGAAAATAAGATAGAAGGTTAAGTAGTAGTGAGTTTCCCACTGCCATCCTATCCCTTCCTAATGACCAGCCTACCGTAGACTATGATAGTTGGGTGGGCGAATGGACGGAGGGTAACTATTAGAGACAAGCAGTATCAAGATTGGGGACAAAGGTGTGCCTAGTATCGAAAAAGATGATGAAAAATTGATTTGCGGGGGTATCTACAATCAGCAAGAGTTACCACAAATTCAGCACAAACCAAACAGCTGTCAGAACCATGGCCAGGTACTGCTTCTGGGCTCTTACAATCCCTGCTGATAAAGAGCCCGCTGAGCTTACTGACGGCACTGTCGTTGAAGATGCACCTGTGGGCGCCCCAATTCTTGCCCCGGAGCCATCAGCTACAACCGATGTAACCGGATGAGAAACCTGGGTGGCACTTGGAACAGAATCAGTTCCAACGCCAATTTCCAGTATGTTGTCCTTTGTCGAGTTAAAGTTTGTGTTGGCGATAGATATCTCGTTGTTGGCTATGTCATATACGACATATGCACTGCGCAAGAATGTGTCACCCAGAACCGCAGTACTGTCTCCGGCGGGGACAATTCCAAAGATACATGCACGTGCACCATCCCGGAAACGAAGGTCGCCCGCGTCCAGGAGAAGTTCATCAATCATAACCGTGATATTCGGAGATGAAAAAGTATATGTTATATTCATGTTGTTTTCCGCCAAATTGCATGGCAGGTAACCGACCCCGCTTGAAGGTTCATATGCGACGTTGAGGTCACGATATATGTTCTCGACGATGGAGTCAGGAAGATAGGTCAAAGAGCTGCCGGAGTCGAGCAGTACCGCCGCCGGCAAGGCATCTGATGAGTAAGTTTTATGATGCGACTCCGAGTCGAACGCAACTCCAGTCAGTGCGATCACAAACTCCGAGTACCGTCCGTTGACTTTTTGTATGGGCAAGGTCTGCAGCTCTCCGAGATACTTTTCTGTATTGACACCCCCAAATAATATTGATCCCGTGTTCGATTCAAGATCATTTAACCAAAGGCTGTAGGCGTTGGATCTGATCAATCCCTGGTCGACCATTGCTCGCGGAAGGTTCGAGTAAGCGTCTTTGCCGTACCGACCCACCTGAACTTCATTCGATGGGTAGCCAATTCCTAGCACGCCTTCTATCCAAGGGAGACAGCATTAGTTCCCTACACTGAAGCAATGCAGGTACATGTAGAGCGGAAATTCGCCCAATCCCAGGCTGTGGTCGACTTACCTGAAGAACTAGACGAGTACCCTATTCCAAATTGCAGGTTCTTTAGTGTTGACCCTCCAATATGGAGTATATCAGTTGCATAGTCGCCCACGGCGCCGGTCCCATCAGCGTATGATATATTGAAATCAGATGAAACATAGGCATATGTTGATGAGAAAGAAGGGTCGTAAGAACCGGATATGTTGCAGGAATCGCTCGAAGCCGAGCACAGTGTTGAATTAGCCGCGTTGCACCATAAATCGCTACTCCCAGTGTCGAGAACAAGGCGCAAGGCCTGCTCAGGGGTGCCGAGAGTCACGTTGCAAAAGTACAGAGTTTCCTAGTTGATTGTAAACATGATCCGACCGATGAACCGGAGAGTCAACTTCCGGTGGGTGGGTTACATTACTCACCTCGTTATCGAGCGTTTGGCCGATTGTCTTGTCTCTTTTCCGCCGAACTCGGTCCCTCGCCACAGGGTCTGAAATAATGCTACGCTTGATATCCAGTGAGACCACAGCAGGAATATCCCTCTGATGCAGTGTTAAGCAGGCACCATGTTTCACCGTCAGACACACAATAAAGAGGAGAGAGAATATGTGCCGCATGGTTGGCCTGCTATGATGCTATCTCGTCCAACTACCAGAGTTGCTAGTGAGGGGGCCCAAACTGTATAAAGCGAGAAGCTGTAGAAACTCAGTCATCAGCAGGTATTGAGATGATAGCACACAACAGCTGAAGACAGTCTGGAGGGCTCCAAAGCCAGGACTCCCTTGGCACATACGCCCGTATTGCGCCTCTCGGGTGACCTAATGGCTATGATAGAAGTGACCTACTCTTTGATATGATACTGCCGGTATTGCTCGCAGACAAATACGATGGGTCAATCACCTTCATGTACCAGCACAATAAGGTGAACAGCAAATCATACATCGCTTTGCCCAGCTTTTCAGGCCAGAGTTGCCCGAGGATAGTACACTCGGTCGACCCAGCGCAGTCGGGGGACCGCATAGGTACCAATTTCAAGCATCATAAATATCGTGGCGTGTCGGCTGCTGTCGTCATCAATGGTGGGCCCCTGGTCGCTTTCAGACTTTCAGTAAATTTATGGTTCCAGAGGGCTGCTATGCTCCGGATGATCATCAGTTGAATAAGCAATCCAGTCCACACTTTGACGATTTGGCGTACTACTCTGTAGAGTCGATTACGAACCTGGAAGCCTAGCCCACGAGGCTTGGGCTCCAGCCATCGCCGCAAACAGCTACTATCGGAGAATGCGGAAACTGATTTTCAGATACTGCTCATTCAAGTTATCATCCAATGTTCAAGGTGCGCCTAAATATTCTGTCATATCCCGACTAGGAAATTAGAAAATACTATTGATACGCACAACCCTGCTACTAACACATAGCAATATGTTACGTGACATGTCCAGTTGCTGCAATATTTGAATATTGATACCCATTGCTGGTGGTTACCGGGAGTCTCAGGTACCGTACTCTCAAAGTAACCGGTCCCTTATGTTTGAGGAAGTCTGGTACTGTCTCTTATTAAGTGAATACCAGTTGGGCAGTAGCCTTAAGGCACTTTGCTTCCCGATGGATCCATCTGTAAGAGGGACATGTACGGAGTACACTGCATGCTCCTGAAATGCTCCCACTTGCCGCATACCAATCTGGGCCTCTTTAGTGCTCTCCACGCAATGAACCTACCTACCAGTCTGGCTCTGTAGGCAGCAGCCATTATCCAGTATGGATGACGTATCCCTGCCAATATAGACGACGTACCTCTCTACAGTTGTGAAGTGAATTTAATTCTAGGCCAGGATGTTCTCTAAAGCATATATCGCATTTCTTTCACCAACCCAAGCGAGATTTAGTTTCTATGCACATATTCATATATATACATATACACACATATATATGTATGCATCTTATTGCATAAGCAGCAGTTGAGAAGTACCTAGACAGGCAATAGTGGTTGGTAATTATCAATAGTGGCCATCATCATGAACTGACCATCAGAGTATGACTAACTGAACCTACATACGTACCCGGCAGAACACGACAACAACGTATATGAAGGGCTAAATTAACCCCATGGCGACTTTGACTTGCTCCATTGTCAATTCAGCGTTGGCCCGCGCGGCTTCAGAACCCTGTTCTGCTATAGAATCAAGGTAGTCAGTCTGATCTCCTACAAGTGAGAGATACTTCTCTCTAATTCCTTCAAGATGATTGGACAACGTTCTGGCCAGATGTTCCTTCAAAGCGCGAAGACTGGCTGAACGGTATTCCATGGCTATCTCATCGCAAGTTCGTCCGTCGAAGTGACTCAAGATCTCAATTAAATTCGCCACTCCAGGTCGATGCACTGGGTCATATGTTATGGTCAATTCCGAGTCTGTGAGCGCAGCATTGATCTTCTTGGAGATTTCTGCGGGCGAATCCGTAAGAAGGATCCTTGAGCGTCTGTCGGCATGGGACTTGGACATTTTCAATGTCGGTTCTCTGAGGGACATAACCCGCTTAGCAGGCGCTATTGATAGTCGTCAATTTCCCAACACAGGACCCTTCTGCAAGAAGCAAAATCCACTTACATATAATTGCCTCTGGTGACGGGAAAATGGGTCCATATACATGATTAAAACTATTCGCAGTGTTCCTCGAAAATTCGAGGTGCTGCCTTTGATCGTCTCCGACAGGAACATGAGTAGCTCTGATCTACATCAGTAATGTGAAAATGCACCAACGATTGGGCGGCATACCTATGAACTAGAATATCCGCCGCTTGTAGAACAGGGTATGAGAACAACCCCAATCGCAACCTTGACCTCGCCGCCGAGTCTTCCAGATTTGCGTCATCAGGCAGCTGAAGTTTGCTCTGGACGACATCAGCTAGCTGTTCCTTCTGACCATTGGGCCAGGTTGGCACTTGATCTGGATATTAACCTTCCACTGTGTCATCCGGGAGAGATATCCCATAGAGGCTATTGTGCACAAAATCCAAAACAGTTCGGCGTGCGCATGGACCTAATGATATGGTCAGTAAACTTTAATAACCCAGATTCATACTGCATACGGCAGACTGGTAGAAAATCGTTGAGCGATTCGGGTCTAAGCCAACGGCAATGAGTGTTGCAAAGGTCTCTTTTCTCCAATTTCGTAGCTGGGAGGCGTCTTGTGGCACTGTCAACGCATGCAAGTCGACGATAGAGAAAAACAATCTTGTCCCCTCCTCCGCAGCATTTTGTAGCCGTACCCATTCACGCAAAGCTCCCAGATAATTTCCAAGGTGCGGTACGCCGGTTGGTTGGATCCCAGAGAATATGGTCTGATTGGCATCTGAAGATGATTTCGCCGTCTCTGAGCTACTCCATCTGCGGAAAGCTTCTCTCGACGTCACAGGTTTCCCTGCATGAATGGGAGGTCTCCTTGCTCCGCGCAGAATTCCGACAACTTGACTGCTGTGGCAATTGGATCCCTGCATATCCAATCTGTTGGCGGGAATGGGAATTCTGGTGCAAATCGTATTTGTGAGATGGCTTTCTATTCTGAAAAGATATACCACTCTTAATGCTTAGCACTCTAACAAAATGTTTAAACCACGTGATATCAGTACTACTTCTCAAACTATCTGTTCTTCGAGCTCGTACTACACATAAGCCGGATCCTGACGACAGGTATACTGATACTGCCTTACAAATTTGAACATCTCATTGATGAGTAATGAAATTGCTGCGTATGTATATGCGCCCCAGAGAAAAGTTGGTTGATTACCGAGATGCTAAGAGAATTATAAGCAGAGCAAACCAAACATAACCACAACCATGAGGTCAACCCTTGCGAATGTCTGTCAAGGGGCTCTTGTTATGAGTGAAACGCTCGTTTTCTAAAAGATCAAATACCGCGCTCTGATCCGATCCGTCACTCCGATGACCAAAATGTGAGAGGTATGGCTCAAGCGACTTCTCGATATCGGGCAGTGATTCATCCATGTTCCGGGTCACGTCTAGATTTACCACTCCGTAAGCATATAGACTTGACACGATTCCGGTCAGGCAGTAAGTATAGCGGGAGGAGGCCATACCGAGGCTTTCGTGATCCCACACATTTGCTTTCATACCAACGCCATAAAACGCATGTTTACGTAAAAAAGCCAGCCATGCCTGTACAGCTTGGGGATGCCCATCTTTGATCTGAATCAACCGGCGGAGGGTTATTCGCTCGAAGTTCTCCTGACTTTTCTTGTGAACGAAATTGCTTCGCGGGAAAGTCCAGCGCTCAACGATCCGTGGCAGAGGAACCGGCCCAGAAACAGGAAGTTCCAGGTAATATGCAGCGCGTACAGCAAAGTCAGCAAAAAACTCTAAGTTGCGAACGCTATAAGACCTGAGTTGAAGATCGCAGACTGGCAGACCAAATTCAGGCTTCCTCCGAAGTGGCCGAAGATACAACGCTTGTACGCTCCGCGGGAGTCGGGCCTTCTGACCAACACTGTCCAAGCGCTCTGACCTAATTACCGATGAGCATGGTGGCGCAGCATAAGATTCCTGCAGAGAACTAGATCACCAACCATTCTTTGACGTCTGAACCTGACGAAGGCGCTGGAGTCCTCGATCTGAGCATGGTTTGTTAGTCCAGGGACTTTACCAAATAGAAATGAATCCAACAGGTGAAAAAGGCATCTCTAACAATTCTGAGCTTGTGACTGAATCGCTGCGAGACTCAGACGGCCTAGAGTTTGCGATGTCCAGCTCGGCTGAAGAGGCGATGCTGCGAGAGGCGGATACGGCGAACTTTTTTTTTTTAGTAAGATCAGTTTCACAGGGCACACTTGTGATAAGGAAAATCACTGCTGAATACCTTCAGATGCCTAGCAGCTCGTAAATGAAAACGTTGACCGAGGGAAATTGACATAGTGTATCTGGGCAGGATGACTGATAGGTAGCTAACAGACACACAATCCTGTCAACTTTTGCGAAGTCGCGGAGATACCTTGGCTTTTCTGCCAGGCACAACTAAAGCAGAAGTTCCGGTCAATTAGAGATTCTGCTGACCGCCTTGACTACCTTAGGTAACACTGCCCTCCATCTAGTAGCAAAGTGACAAGTCGACGCATTAATATTATCGTTCCAGAATATTTATACCTAACTACATCCATCATTATTATGCTGAGTGCTCACCAGGCAATCTAAGATTATAAGTCAATTTACCTTCATCACATGAGCAGGTGAATATTCTCTACTGTCTTCCACATAGTTGTTCCTGCCCCATACCAACAGATATTTTACACCACTGCATGGGTCGACTGCAGTCGATCATTGTATCCTACATTTTATGATATAGTCTGTGATCCTTGAAGAATTATCAGCTTACTTGTCGAACTTTCAAATTTGGAGGAGATATCTGGCTGCGCTGCGCGCATGTACCTAGTACATGTAGAGTAGTGAAACTATGCAGCAATAAGGTCACTCCTATACTAGCTAGCCTGTACTCAGTTAGTGGCTGAAGCAAAGCAATATTCATTGAAGCAGATTAATATTACTAATGCCTAAGAAGCACCTGTTATTCTGAACTCCCATTCTGTTATGAGTGATGTATTATCACACCTGAGGCAAGTTACCACTGCTTGATTAGAGCTTAGTTAATAAACTGTTTCTAGTCATGAAGGAGAATGAGCACGTACATCCTCTCATCTCACAGCTAAAACAGACTGTCGTACGTGGAGAGAGTGATACCTTAGCCCTCTGGGATCCACAAAACCTCTGGGATTGGCGCTTACCTCTTCATAGTTAGGGTAAGCTAGAGAATACTTTAGAGCATTGAACGCATCTAAACAGAAAATGGAACTTCATTTCCTCGCCTCACATTTCCACTAATTAGTCTAACCCAGAGCACAGAATGTTGCTAGAAGCACCAAAAGACAAGTCACTTTACAAAGAGGCTGTTGAAGCTTTTTCATTCTTAAAGGAACGTCTACCTGAAACTCTACAACACCCTCGTGTTGCAGTTATTTGTGGCTCCGGTTTAGGAGAACTCGCAAATACCATCCATGATGAGCCGCGAGCAGAATTTGAATATTCTTCCATACCCCATTTCCCTTGTCTGACAGGTAAAAATGAAGCCTTGAAGCTCAACATCAACCCACTGTTTTCTGACCTCTGAAGTGCCCGGACATGCGGGAAAGCTCGTCTTTGGACTACTTGCCGACCATATCCCAGTTGTTCTCATGGTGGGCCGTGCACAGTGAGAGCCCTCAATTCATTCCCCCACTCACTATCATTATTGAAAATCGTTTAATATTTTATTTCGCATGCAGCTACTATGAGGGTCACTCAATACATCAAGTGACATTTCCAATCCGAGTTTTTAAGCTTCTTGGAATTGAGACTATTGTTTGTGAGAACCCCGCGCTCTCCGGCACGAGACATTTTTAGTAATCGTGCACAAATAAATAGTAACAAACGCCGCCGGAGGACTCAATACCGAATATGCGGTTGGAGACATCGTGATCATCAACGATGTATGTCAAATAAACATGTAAGGATGCTGCAAGCTAGGTATACTGACACTGTCGAACAATTGCAGCACATCTTCCCTGCAGGATTCGCAGGAACACATCCCCTGCGAGGTCCAAACCCGGAGGAATTCGGACCCAGATTCCCTCCTCTGTCTGACGCATACGATCTCGAGCTCCGTCGCCATGCACACCAGGCATGGAAAGCAGTGATAAGCGAAAACAGTAAACGAAGACTACACGAGGGTGTGTATGCCTTTGTTGCGGGTCCCAGGTTAGTAACTATTTCTCCAGGACCATAAATTTGTATGCAGCCATACACTAATCATTCACAGTTACGAAACTCGGGCTGAGTGTCGTATGCTTCGCCAAGTTGGGGCTGATCTGGTTGGCATGTCAACCGTACCAGAAATAATCGTCGCGAGGCACTGCGGCATTAGGGTACTGGCGTTCAGCTTGGTAACCAATAATGCGGTCCTCTCTCCAGTTCCCCGAGGAGATGATCATCTGCTTCAAGCCAAGGACGTGAGAGAGCTGGATTCCATATTGCAAGAAGGCAAGGCAAACCACGAAGAAGTCCTCGAAGCTGGCCGCACAGCAGCCATCGATATGCAGGTAAGCATCCACATAGAGCGGCTTATGTGTATGAATTGGTATTGATAGGGTAGCAGAAACTCGTCGTGAGGGCCATATCAAATGTCCATGGGCGCCGATAGTGTCCACTCTGTGAGTGGGTCAAAGGTTCGGTCTGCCTCAAGAAGCAAATGCGACGATTGGACAAGGAGCGTGCAAGAGCAACTTTCTGAGACGATCGTCATGACGAGACCTCTTCACAAGTGGCTAGGAAATGGCAAGTCAGCAGAATAACTCGACCGCTGTACCGAACCCTTCGCTGGATTCATGTCCTTCAACATCTGCGAAGTTTGTCTCACTTTTTTTGACGGTTTCTTTTCGCACGAAGGTTACTGTAGAATGATCTTTTGCCGCTTTGCTTCGATGTTTGAATCTCCCTGTATTTAGAAGCAAAGCGTTTGGTTTCCCGCTCCAAAGCCAAGACATCTTCAACGAAAGTCTTCTTGCGGTCTTTCTTGGCGATGCGACCGCTGAAGAATTCCGTTGGACCCTCAATGATTGTTCCCAACTGAGAATATTTTGGAGGCTGTGCCTTGCCGCCTTCTTTCTTGTAATGCCTCTTGGGATCTAATACAGAACGCATCCTGATGAGTTGAAGATCTCTTTTGAGCTCTGTTGTCAATTCTGTCTTTGGAAGATGGAACCAATCGGCACCGGCAGTTGGCTTTTCCTGTGAAAGACATTAGCAAAGAACCATCAATAGGTCACAAGACGAGCTAATGTGATGAGATTATGCTCAGAGTAACTATGAAATTATGCTCTCATTGGCGCAGCGCAGCCCAATACGGACTGTTGAAGCTGCATCAAGGGCTTACGCAGTGGGAAATTTTCCTCATAGCATGGATAGGGAAAGGGCGAGAAAAGATAATCAAGCATCTTACCTTATGTGTTGAGGAGTTGAGGGAAGCCTGCTGGGTTTTAAGAGTGGACAAGCTCTTGTTAGATAAACTCATTTGCAGGGGATCGATGATGCGTTTCGTGTCAGCCAAGGCAACATCGTCTCGCTGCGCAATATAAGATTGTAATGAGGAGTCCGTTGCTAACTTCGGAATGCTGCAATAACCACACAATCAGCAACAACTCAATTGACCCTTGGGTGATAAGACTCTTACTTCAAGAAGGGCTTTCCCGAGTGGCCAATGGCTTGGTCCTGCGGAGTGCTCGTTGGCTGAACTTTACATGTTTGCAATCGAGACTCAGCCTCAAGAAGCAGCTGCTCGATATCTTGATCATTCAAGGCACCCTCTTCGAGAGAATGCAGTGCAACTTTGCCACATGCTTCTAGTTGCATATTCGTGGGAACGTGGTGTAGAGGAGATAAAGCAAAGCAGTGAGGAAAGATTCGAGAAAGAATTTATGGTGCAAAATCCAAGTCCCGTTTAGCTGTGTTGGGGATAGTTAAATCCCGTGATCAAGGCTATTAGTCATCATAATACGTGTAAGTTAACGTTAACTAAACAAGCGGGCCATGTAGGCCAGCGGGCCACCTCTACATTAGAAAATGGCCCTTCTTTGGACTTTGATATCTCAACCAAAGCACCTGTTAAGAGCTTAAAAGTAAGGAATATAGTTTAGTATACTATTTAATATTTATAGAGGCTTTTATTATGTCTTAACATATACTAATATCTTGAGTAATGTAAATTACAGCTGTTATTTTCATACTTTGAGTAAATTTAAGAATATACAGTAGAATCAATTTTAAAAATCCTAAGAAATAATTTCTGAACTATTTCACTTACGCATACTATATATCTAAATTGCACTTTATAAATTTCATCTTTGGGTGAGATATAGTAGTCTTAAAAATGGCCCTTTTCTATGGTACGGTGCGTAATGCTTGGCGCCTGTTTCAGCGCGCTCCTTTGACGTCGACATCTTTGTAGCAACCCAAGTAGTAACATATCGACAGTTCGCAATCTATTGCAATATTATTCTGCATCTCGGACACGGCGAAGAAACTTGACGTTTGTTATTTTTGATATATTATATTCACAGGGATCGGAACCGCCTACCGCGTCGCACCGTCAGTCACCTAGCAACGCCTTTGGGAGAACCCTCTCGCGATACATCCACTGTTGTCTCAAAGTGCTGAAATACTCCATTTCTTGTACTTGCCGCTTCGGTTGATTTCGTCGTTTCCAGAAAATCTCAGACATGGAACAGTCTTCGCAGAGTACCGGACAGCAGCAAGGTAGACAGCAGCCAGTGTATGACACCAGGAACGGCGGACATTATGGTGAGTAGTATCTGTCCATAGAGATTCTATGTTCTCAACATCTCATCAAATGTCGAAACTAATTCGTTGTTGTAGGTGCCAGTGCTGCGGTATGGTGGACTCGGATCAGCGCAACCATTATCTAGCTCGTGATAAAAACTGACTTGCAATATGACAGCTTTCAGCGCAGGGGTATGCCCCCGTCGCTGAGCTTTATACGGGAACATGGGCAAATGCAAGTAACCAAACCTAGTGATTTTCATTATACTGATGATAGGAAAGGTCAATCAAGGGCTACAAGGCACAGCCCGCGACATACTAACGACCTACTGGCAACACATTATCAACCATCTCGAATCGGACAATCATGACTACAAAATTCACCAATTGCCACTGGCCCGTATAAAAAAGGTCATGAAGGCAGATCCTGAGGTGAAGATGATATCCGCTGAAGCGCCTATATTATTTGCGAAAGGCTGCGATATCTTCATCACAGAACTCACTATGCGGGCTTGGATACATGCTGAGGATAACAAGCGACGCACGTTGCAAAGATCAGATATCGCAGCGGCCTTATCCAAATCTGATATGTTTGATTTCCTCATCGACATAGTGCCTCGTGAAGAAGCAACATCGCATGCGAAACGATCGAGCCAGACAACTGCAGGTGCTGCAGGTTCCTCTGCTGCGACAGGTGCCCAACTGCCACCTTCTCAACATGGTGTTCAACATCCTCCGCACCATATGGGTCCCCCAGATTACGGTTCTCTGGGGCAACATGGCATTGGACAAGACCAAGAATATCGACAGCCAACGATGTACGGGGGAGCCGTTCAGTCGGATCCAACGGCCGCATATGGACAGCCGCAATCCCAAATCTTTGAAGGAATGTACAATCCTTACCCACATCTTCCGCCACAGCAGGTATGCCAAAACTCTCCTTAACGTATTTGATGTCCGCTGTGCGGCATTTCGGTACGCGGTTCAGCTAACCGTGTTCATTTCGAAAGTGATTATTTGCAGAGGTTCAAGTCTTCATGGACAGGTTACGAGTATACTGGAAGTTCATTTTCACGGCGCCGTTCTCATCTTTTTTTGTTGCTAGTATTATGATGGATTTTGTGCCTTTAACTACCGTGGAGTTTCCAAATGGAATCAGCCAGAGTAGTTCGCAGTATGCTTAACATCGACCCCGGGCCCTAATTCTATTTCAGCTAGAAGTAAGGGTTTGGTTGGGCAGATGGCTTGGCCAGTCAGTGAGAGAAATCTCGAGACATCCAATTTCGAACGTTTCAAGACTTCTTGCCGAACCTTGAGGAAAGTGTTGTGAACTTATCAATCTTTCCCGAACTTTGAACAGTGCGTGTAAGTCTGTAATATAATCAGTAATTGGCCACTCCGGGATATTTGGCCATGGATAGACGCACTTTTCTAGGAGGATAGGGCCATTGATAGCATCCACGCGGCCATACTTCTTATTTCTCGTAGAAATATCGTAAAACTCGTCCGTATTAAGCGCCTGCATTAGATGCACAGTCTGTTGCAATTCGTCGAGGTTCTCCCGAAGAATGGGAACACCCAAGCTGTCAACAAACTGAAAGAGATATTCAACATCTTTCGCAAGGGCCATCACTCCATTGGGATTGATGCTTTTTACGTCTGAGGAGAGCGGTTGTGCCTGTCGAGAGAGCAGGGATTAGCCAGTTCTTATATCAAGGAATTAATATGGTATTACCAGAATCATGTTCGCCGCATGGCTGAGAGCATCGAAGTATATGAGTTCCTTGATTTCTGTTGGGAGACCGAGCAATGTTGAGTTCATTATATTGGACAGAAATCGGGTCAGCGTTTGCATGTAGTTGCTGGGCTCTGTCGGAGGCGTGAGTGCCATCCAGTCATACTCTGCAGTTTCAATGAGATCATCAATTTTGGAATTGACGACCTCAAAAATTCGCTTTTCTGCTGATTTTTTGTTGCTTCTGAATTTCTCCGTCGCTCTTAAGGATATCGGACCGCCCGCAGCACCTTGTGATCGAGCCGCGGCGAGAAGCTCCTCGAGCTCACGGCACGCTGATTCAAAATGCTCCAGATTGATTAAGATCTGAACAATCTGGCCCAAATATTGCGAAGAAAGACGCTCAACAAGCGTATCGCAAACTTGGTTTGAAAGAAGCTCATCCAAAGCCTGTGACCGTCAGAATGTACTTTCTATGTTTTCGGACCCATATGTGACTGACATCTTTGAGAGTATCATCAATCATATGCGGATGCGAGAAATCTTCATTGGCGAAGAAATAAAACTGGTTTAAGAAGTTGCGGATGTCGATGCAACACAAGGGATACATCTGAGAAAAAGGCAGAACACATGGAAACCTATTGAAGTTAGTGAAGAGAACGCAACTCTCACAATCGAGACTGTTGGAGTACACTTGCTCCTCCCTTGGCTTCTCAGGATTGTACCAGCTGACATTGAGGACCTTGTCATACTCATCCAACGATTGTATCGGCATGGGCATATAATCGTCCGTCGATACGATCTTACGATTCGATTAGATTCGATTAGCAAGGACAATTTGATCACGATATTGCAGCATACCTCCTGGAAGTCATCACTGAATCTTTTCTTGAGAAGTTCGGCGTATCTCTTGAACAAAGTCAAGAGCAGTTCGTCAAATTTTCCAACGGAGAACTCCCATGTCTGTGTCCAGCAGTGGTCAGTGATGGGGGAAGGGCAAAAACATCGGCGACAGCTCTGAAGTCATGGACCAACATTCATTGTTTGCATAAATAATGCAACGAGATTTTTGATTTTGAGCAAACTCTCAGCATTATCAACTTCAGGAAGCGCTTTTGAAATGAGGCCCACAGCAGTCTGGCACATTGAATCCCAGAGCTCATCAACCTAGTCACAAGCATTAGACTTCATGCTGAGCAAATGGTCAGGAGAAGGGTGACTCTACGTCAACAGATGACCTCAAGTCTGGCACTCTCTTCATGGTAGCACGCTCTACGATGGCAAAGCCTGCCATTTCTTCTAGAAGGTTGTGTAGGGAAGCTCCGTCCTCGTCAACCAAAGTTATTGAAGAGGGAATTAGAAGCTCTTTTTGTCGGCGACGGGTATTAGCGTATTCCGTCCGAAACTTGTCCATCTGCCCCAGTGATTGATGGATATGTAAACACTCAAACAGGGGGGTGAAGTCAACTTGCAGTTCCTCATTCTGTAATAAATCATATTCTTCGTGCTCATCCGAAACCAGCTCAATAGCAGAGTTCAGCTTGAAATGTCTGAGGTATGGTAGTTTCTCTGCCCTCTCCTTTAGTCTTGTCTTCCGGCATTCTGTATGGTAAAGAGCTATTTCCCCGAGAAACTGAGACATCTCGCGGATTCTGTAAAGCCAAGTATTCAGGTCAGATAGCACGGCCTCCGCTATCGCTCGCTGGGTCGCTGGTACTGAGCGCTGAATCATATCGGCGATTTTATATTGGGTCACGTCCTTGAGGTGCACATTTTGGAGTTCCTCGAGCGCCCGTAAAGCCGCATAGTGGTTTTTCTTGGCTAGCAGATCATGAACTTGATTAGCCAGGCGTAGCACCTCCAAGCAGTCCTGGATGGCGCGAGACGTCTCATCAATATTCTGTCGGTGACTGCGCGACTCTACCAGAGCCTTCTTTTGTTCGGCGAGACGTTCGGTGCTAGCTTGGATAGATTGGTTCAGGTCAAGGATCTCCGCGGTCAAGCTCACTGTTCCTTCTCTGATACGCAGAAGGTGATTGATTGAAGATACAAATTCCTGATGGTTTGTGTTGCATATCGTTTCTATCTCAGCTTCTTTATCGCTGGCGAACTTGGACAGGGACTGCAATAATTGAGACGTTCGATTGCCGACGCTGTACTCCCTGATTGATGGGATCAATTGATCAATATAATCCGTGTCCGATGGAGAGATGATGATCTATGATGCATGGAATTAGCGCTTGGATATGGGACGCCTGCTCCTTTGAACTCACTGAATTCAGCACAGGTGATGGTTCACTACGCGGAGGAACCATTGACGGCATATCCCATGTATCAATATCCTCGTCTGCGCAGCCTTGATCGTCAAGTGAGGTCGTGTAAGGATGGTCAACTTCCTAGGTTGCAATATAGGCGAGCAGCACGGGTACCCTATATCAGGTATAAAGCACGAAATGGTAAATTTATGTTGATGGTTCTTAAGCAGTGTGCAGGCGTGTAGAGACGGCCTAGATGCTTTTTGCATGTATTATGAACGTTGTATGTTATCTTTACCTCTCTAGAAAGCTGGCTAAGGGCCTACGTCAGGATAAAGTAAAGGAGCTCCATTTCTGTCATGGTCCGTGCGCTTGTCTTAAGATCTTAAGCACTATGTAGATTAAGTTACATTAACCCTAAAACAACAACAATGATAACAATACATGCATGAACATGTTGAAAGTATGGAGTGAACAACTGAACATCCTCAGTCTACAAACTACCTATGGACTCCTCACTTCGCTGGTTCTATCTGTATGAGTCCTGGTCTCCAGACTTATTTTACTGGAGTACAAAAGAGGGTAGCCGTCTATCGAGTCAGATGGGTTTAAGAGCATCAGAAGGAAAATGAAAATCAGCCTGCCTTGGACAAGTGCACGAGCATCATGTATAGCCAGGTAGGTGTCTTGGAAAAGATATAAGTTCAACATATAACTAATTAGCTTCATTGGTTGTGTTGGGTTAATATACCATGAAATACTAGTCAGAATTACTTTCTATAAGAGTAAGAAGTAGGCTCCAACATGACCAAACCCTTTTACATACTCTTCTTCTAGGCGCTATCATTTCCTATACACCCTAACATGATGCAGATCATGCAATATGTGTGTTTCTCTTGAAGCTATTAACCTACTTAAACTATCGCCTTTAAAAAGTGCTTTGACATTAACCCAGCATTTCTGTCATACATGCCTGAGAAGACAATATATGATGTTCAATTTTCTTTTGAAAATTGATATAGTTAGGGCTTGTTTACCCTGTTAATTGTTATTATATCACTCATGTGCGATAACAAATTGTATACATAGTAGCCCCGTTGATGTCGCCGGGGCGTTGCTCTTCATCTTCTCATGCTGTCACTATCGACTGTTTGTTTTGTTCTGTATCATCTCCTCTTCAAATCTTGCAAAGTCAGGCCTTTTCCCCATGCTCTTCTAATTGTTAAGACAAGTGCCACTTCCCTCGATTCCTACCCCTTCTCTGCTTGAGGTGTAATCGCAAATATCTTTAATACACTTCGCCAATTGCTCATTGTTTTCAGAAACGGCTGTCATACTATTGCTGAAGGCTCTGTAGCTTGACATTGTTCCCTGACAAGACACCATTTCGTTCTCTTGTAATGAGGGCCAACAACACCTCTCGTGGGTTGAGCAGTCCCTGTTCGACGAACGATGGAATCTCGCCCAATGGATCCCCCGATACCAAGCTTACAGCCTTCTCACCCGAGGATGTACGATCTAAAGGTCGTCCTGAAACCGGTGTTGTTACCTCCCTCGGCGACGCCGGATTCCGCAGGCTGTACACAGTGTAAGTGCAATCTGAAACGAATATACTTCTCCGTTAACACTGCTTAGGCACCCAGCCGATCCATTTTTGGTGCCGCTAAACACATCTAATCGCGGGCAGCTGTCCCCACACGCAGCAAGCTTCACCCCTATTGGGATAGCCGGCAGTGCTGCCAGTGATATCCAAGTTCGCGGCCGTTCGAATATCGGCTCCTTGAATGCTCAAGCTAACGTTGAAATCCGCGGAGCCAGAAGCGGACCGGGGGGAGTATATGAGCAGGGCCTACCGAATTATGGGCCTATTGGCCGTGCTCCAATCGCTCAAAAAGGCCGCCCAACTGGCATTTTCACCGGAAATTTTGACAACGACAGACGTAGCCGCGCATTTGCCATTGAAAATGTTCCGGCCAGTCTTAACTTCATGTCTTTGGCTGGTTTCTTCAATGTAAGCTTTCGGATTAGCTGCTCATGTAGTAGAATGCTAACTCTGCAAAAGCGTCGCGAGTTTGCAACTCTCAGAGGACCAGTTCTTAATGAACTCAGCTCCTTGGGCAAAGTGTATGTTGCATTTGCAGATAGTCGTGAGGCGAAGAAGGCAATCGAGAAGGTTCGCCTTCTTCGACCTGAATGGCGTGTTTTCCCACTTACTGCGAAGGAATATGTGCAGCATTCCGAGCCATCTCTTCTCCAGCAGACATCAGATTATGAAGGGCATTTGCTTGTGTCTGTGTACTACGACAGCCGAAACCCCACGTTCAACTCGCATACTGTAGCGCGCTCCCTCCAAACACTTGCAACGACGTTTGGGGACCTCAAGGCATTCGAACTACTCCCCAGGGGACAAGACAATGTCAGCGAGTTCCACCTCGAGTTCTATAACACGCGTGATGCTGATAATGCAATGGTGACACTGAATGGCACCACAGTCGATGTAAGTGAAACATTTTGTATCGTGTTGCTATTACGATTCCCCCAAGGCCGGCTTATTTTCGTAAAAGTGACCGAGAACGCTGATGCATCATTTGATAAAGGATTGTATTCTGGAGATTGCTCTGTTCAAGCCCGACGTCACCGAAGACAGACCATTCAATGTTCTGCCGAGCTCATCCCCAGTGAAGGATGGAGGCTCACGCTATGGTACTTCATACCACAGAAGCTCGCCGTCTGCCCCAACACGCCCGTTCAGAACGCCTTATATGGAGCTTAGCCCCACTGGCCGCTCCACTGTGCCTTCAGGAGAGCACGCCGGTCTTATGGATTGGATGTCGAGGGTAGGAGAGAAAAACTTGCACTCGCCTCGGCGCGAGATCAGTCGTTATCCTGATGCCCGCGTCATTAGCCAAAATGCCGTTGATATCGAAAGAATTCGCCTTGGCTTAGATGTCAGAACAACTGTATGTATGATTGGTCATGCTGCCATCGTCCAGGGACTGATCTGCTAAATTTTCAGATCATGCTCCGCAATATCCCGAATAAAATTGATCAAGTAAGTCCAACGCTTGTCAACGGAAGCGGCACGGCATCTAACATGCTCAGACTATGCTCAAGGCGATCGTTGACGAGACCAGCCACGGGAAGTATGACTTCATGTATTTGCGTATTGGTAAGAAGGAGTACTCTTGGTTTGATTTCAAGATGAAGCTAACTCCCAGCCTTCTAGACTTTGCGAACAACTGCAAGTGAGTCAATTACTTTACCCATGCGCAGCTTCTTGATGACCTGATCATACTCACATTATTGCCAGCGTCGGATATGCTTTTATCAATTTCGAAGACGTAAGTCATATGGAACCGTTTGGCCCCTATCCCTTCGAACATTGTCTAACAAATTGCCAGCCGATTGATATAATCGATGTCAGGAACCCCCTGTCCCCTTCTTGCCGCCCATTTTACTGAATAAATAATAGTTTGTCAAAACGCGAGCTGGGCGTTCCTGGTACGAGACCCTCCTACCCTCTCTGTTAACACACGCTGACCATCAATTAGGAACTGCTTTAACAGTGACAAAGTAGCGGAAGTTTCGTATGCTAGTACGTGCCACCTGCTGAACAACGAGGTTGGGCATTCTGACTCCTGAATACAGCGATTCAGGGCAAAGATTGCCTTATACAGAAATTCCGAAATAGTTCGGTCATGTTGGAACATCCATCGTTTCGTCCAAAGGTGAGCGCGACATAATCAACGTGGAGCTAGATAACACGAAAACTAATAGAAAGTGTAGATTTTCCACACCGGCACTGGGCCTCTTGCTGGCACAGAAGATCGTTTTCCCGGACCAGACAATCCTTCGAAAATGCGTCGCAGCATCGAAAATGCTGAACATATTGGCAAGTTCATGTATCTCTAGGACAATATGACGGTTTGCTAACAAATCATATCACCAGGATTGTTCGCACCACGTGTCGGACAGCAATATCGGGACGAACAACGTCGACGCCGTTCACAATTCGATCGTGGGACTACCGCTGCTGAACGAGAGATCGTATATGTCCAGACAATTGCTTCACATCCCTTTGGTGTCAATAATGGCCTGAGAAGTGCTCCCTGCACTTATCCTACATCAACCGTATGGTACGATCCGACGATCTCTGCGCGCGGTCCAAGAACATCATAGTGCAAATATCGCCCCAGAAAGCAACCCTTCTTCGAACGTGCCTCCGGGCCCAGAAGTTCAGGAAAATAATTGATTGAAATTGCGAGACAAAGACTTGCGAAAAAAGTGTCAATTGGGACTTGACCTCGCTGGCGATGCAGGACCCTTCACAAACTCGTCTTACCCCACTAACTTCTTGTCCCGAGTACAGCAGACACTCGGAGAGTGAGATGACCGACTTGTCTGATTCACAGGAGAGAACCATTCAATGCCCTGGTTGGCACGCAATATGGGGTCTCAGTTCGAGTCTAATGTTGGGTTCATCTCCATTTGGAAGCCCATCTCTGTGAGATTTAGGTGTCTTTCCTCCTGGTGTCTATTCTGAAATAATGATCGAAATTATGTCTGCTCCTTTGCTTCCCTTTTCTTTTCTCCATTTCTAGGAGAGATTAAAGTGATCAGTTCATGACTTGCCCTTTTTCTTGATTTTGTCTTCATTCGTAGAGTGTCTCTATCTGAGAGTGCAAATAGCCGACCTGATCACATTTAGTTGCTTGCATGAACGGCATTAATTTCTCTGCAAACCGTATGCGTGTTGGTTGCTCGACGTCGTCGATCAACTTCGTGATGAGATCACGATTTTCTGGGTGTGGGTGGAGTACTATTATTCCTTATCTAGCTAGCTGTTTGACTTCACTTTTAAAAATAAATAAGAAACTGAGCCGGCCTACTCCGTACAAGGGTATCAAAACCTCGGCGTAGATATCTCTTCATCATTATTCTATTTTCTAATACTTTTCTCTCTCTCTTATTTTTCATCTTGTATTTCTTTTCTCTTGCTTATTTGCTTGCTTTTATCCTCTCCCTTTGGTTCTTTTCCTGATCACACCCGTTCCCGGCATCTTCTCATTTCTAATGAGAAGCTCTCATGCAATGGATTTGAAAAGCCGGTTATAGTTTGTTCCGCACAAGAGCTTTCTAGTTAACATTATTCTTCAAGACTCATGAGCAGCTCGTTGCCATCAGAGTACTTAAAGAAGTAATGGATGTCTCAGAAATCATAGCTTTACATTCACTGCTTCATTTAGTTTTCCACCGAAATAAGAATCAGCACGGAAACACGAAATGGTGGAAATGGTTGTCTATCTTGAAACGCATCACTCTGAAACTCGCTAAGTCATTGGAGACCGATGCCTTCCATACTGTTCGCCTATATAAAGAGCACCTGGCTTTGCATGTCATTCCACATTGTTACCTGTAAGTCACGCTATCATTGCCTATCACTCTGCCATTGCTTCTGATACCTTGCGTCCATTAACTTTCAATGACTAAACATGTATCAGAGCATTCTCGATAGTCATAGCCGATGGCCAGTTTTCTACAATAGGCACAGTGCTGGTAGCTGCACTTGCTCGTTTAACTAAAGCGACAGGAATAGACAAGGAGATGAACTCCCTGCATGGAAAGAAAATGGCGTTTCGACCGTCGACATGCCTTAAGAATTTGCAACAGGAGGATGTGGGAGAAGTTGTTTCTCGGTTGAGCGAGTCTTTTATCTCTGATCCAGGCTCTCAGTCCGACAAGCAAGATGGTTTAGAAGAACCGAATAGCCACCAGAGGGAAGCAAGAGAAACTGCCACTATCGCTGTGAAACCTTCGGGCCAGAAGAAGAGGAAGAAGAACGCCATCGATGATCTTTTCAATGGGGTCCTGTGATCATGCTGGCTGCTTAGAGTCAGACATTTTTCAAGTACTTGCGGACCATCCAATTCGGAATGTATTAGTTAAGAAAAAAGTATGCCCAGTTTGTATCCTCATAGCAACTCGATTAACGACAAGCAACTGAATGAAACGCATATTGCTAGTTCAAAACTTGCGACACGTTCGCCGTAGCCGGTAAATTGATAAACAGATGGTTGAGAATAGTCCACGCCAATGTATAGAGATATTTTGGTGAAAAGACTGTCCAGATGAAAAGATGTGTCCGTAACATTGTACAAGCCGCCATGACGGACATCAAAGACGTTGCAGCATGGAAGGTTAGGAGGGTTCTATGGCCGTATCTCTCCTCAAACGTTGGATTTGAGTAGAGAAGCCGAGCAGCGGATGCCCACCATATGGGCCCAGCCCAATTGCTTATGAATGTCAAGACTCCCACCAGCACCACACTATAACTGCCAATCCCGTTGTATGCGTTGGAAAGATCGACAGAAGATATTGCATTCGAACCTCCAAATGCAAAAAATGTCATATTCTGTGAAAGCAAGGACGTAAGGGCCACTTCAATAGCGCTCATTTTCAGAGAATCAAGAATTATAGCCTGTAGTCGAAACATCAAAAAGATCGGGATATTGACCGCTTTTGACTGTGTTATCAAGAAGAGGGTCAGGCTTTCATGAAATATAGTGCCCAGCGGGATCACTAATGTTTGTCAGTAAAACCCCGCGCGGTAGTAATTAGTCAACACTCGCCTCCTTTTAAAGAAGATCGTTTCTGCGTGGCATTCATCATACAGAACGATGTCACCACCAGTAGGGCAATTCCACAGAAGACGAGTCTTGCGGGTAGAACCAATGGCATCCCTTCAAGGCTTTTCTGTATGGGTGATAGGAGGGACTCGTCAAGAAGCTCCGGAGAGTCGGACGCCACGAAAACCAGCTTGAAAAAGAAGGCCGCTATTGTCGTCAGTATAGCTGCAGAACACCAGATATTACTCGGGTGTGAATTGAGACAAAGACGCCTGCATGTATCAAAGTAAGTCAGTATAATCAAGGCCCACAAGATATTCTGATGGCGAGGAAAGAAATTTCGCGCAATATCTGGCTCAGCAGCAAATTTTTGGCCTGTTTGATTCCAGCGTCTGAGAATCCGATAAGAGATGGCCAGCCCAACTGTCATACATCTTGCAAATAGTGAGAACGAGAACCGAGTATCTTTCGAGCCATGCCATGGGCGGAGTGATTTTATGTGCAAATAGACAGTCCATGCCGTGACGACCCAATACCAGAATTGTTGCTCTTCCTCCACGTAGCTGCTGGCAAACATCATACCACCGTAGCTTATAACGCTCAACATGAGAAACGTCACAGCATCGCTGGACTTCGAGACCAATCCATATGCTGGAAAAAAAGAAAGTAAGACAGCAAGAGCCGCGACGAACAAGCCCAAATAAAGTCTTGTTGTATTGTATTTACTGGCAGTGCTGCTCATCACTTCCTGGGCAGATCTTAGAACCCTTAGCAGAGCCGATTCGACATCTGGCAGGATTGTTCTGTTACGCTCCGGTCCGTGGACCAATTGTAGTGCTTGAAACCAAGCACACTGAACTTTGGCAGGACCTGTTGCCAACTGCTTGTCGCAGCCGTGAGGAGGAGTAATTGCTTCAACATCTAGATCGGGAAAGGTCCCCTTCATGGCGTTAAGCATCTGCTTGGCGTTTCGAAGCAGGATATCAATTCTGTGAGCACCTAGAGCCAAGAGGCAACATGTCAGTTTGGAAATACGTTACAGACAAAAAGAAACTGACGACATTACCATTATCCCACATCATTAGAAACTCTGGTATGAAAATGCCGAGACTATTCAGCGGAATAGGTAAACCCAGGAGCCCTGCCAGAGTCGGCGTGATGTCCATCTGCTCGACAGTCCGATAGTATTGCAAGTCGCTAAATGCCTCAACCGGACTGTCTTCCGGGGTTTTTCTAGTCTGAAACTTCGGTGAAATGAAAAGCAAGGCGGGCGAAATTTCTCCCGGTGACGAGCCACCATGATTCCCGGCATCGTTCATGCCATGATCTCCGCACAGAACAAACAGGGTCGATTGAAGATGTTCCTGTTCCTCCATTGCGGCATAAATTAGAGCAACGATCGAGTCCATCTCTCGTTGTTTTGCCATCATATGTCGACTACGATATTAGGACACAACTCGGAAAGCGAAGTGAAAGTCGAATGTCTCACCTCTTAGGGCCAGCTTTGTGACCAATATGGTCCAATCCCAAAAAGTGCATTATGAAGGCCGACCAATCGCGCTCTGATAGCTCCCGCGGGACATGGCGAGTAACGTTGTGATCTACTTCAGTGAAATCCTGTAGGTGGCTATTAACTATTTGACCCGTTTGTGTGTCTTCTGTTCGCTCAGTGGTTATGACTGACCGATACGAAGAAACTCGTAGTCCCATCAGACCTATCAAAGACTCCCGGAAATAGCTTGATCCAAGTGTCATCGCCGTACATGACAAGCTGACCTCCCTGCGCTTTTATCTGCGCTAGCCATGTATCTTGATATGCGAGGGTAGAAGACGTATCAGACTCTGCGATGTTCAATATCACGTCCAAGAAGGACGGCACGGAGCCAGTTGTCATGGCCTTGAGCCGTGGCATCGTGACCGTTGGAGAGCTGGCATGGGCCGTGAAAGGTAGAGCCGCTCCAGAACGGATTAGGCTGTTGATCTCAAAATGCCTCAGTCAGCAGCAGATTCCGCGGCAAAATCATTATGTGGCTTCTGGTTGACCTTTGGGTGAAAGAGAATCCGGAAGTCTTCGAATAAACGAAATCACTGGCATTAAGGCTTAGCTAAGATACAGAATTGGGCATTTAGATACAATTAGTCGTACCTGCGCAATGCATCAATCACCATGAAAATCACTCTATTGAAGACTTTTGGTGCCACAGTGTCAATATTGGTCTCATCAAATGTGGCCAGTCCTGGAAGTAAAGACTTGTAAGGGAAAAATCCGGATGAAAATATTGAAATGGCTACAACAATGAGTATATTGGCGATTAGAATTGCCCGATGCTCCCATTTGAGGGCCATCTTGCAGGCTTTGATATCTTTGACCCGAGCGCCGGGGAGCTCAATAGAGTATTGAAACCTGTCGCATATCAACCGCGACTTGCTGAAGATTGTCGAGGCCTCATAAGCTGCCAGGTTGTGTGAAGTCTCCAAAGCCTGGCAAAGGAGGTACTGTCTGAAATTATGGACAACATGCTAACCAAGTACGGCATTCAAGCGGCAGAATATTGACCACCTCCGCAACCTCCGCAACGTCAATGTATCCTACTTTCTGATTACAGTCCTAACTTTGATGATCGGACTCCTGTATATAAGTTAATTATTTTTTCTTTTGCCACATTTAACGCTAGAGGAACGAATTTGAAAGCCAGATTGTCCGGGTTGATGAATTGACTTTGTTGCTGTAGGGACGGCCGAAAGCTGCAATTCGGGGAGGTTATCAAATCCAGGCTTGTCAAAGTCAACATTCACACGCATTTAATTGACGTTGGTCACCGCGGGCGATAACAGCAGAAGATAATATTGTGCTATTTGCAAAGCAACTGGACGCAACTTATAAAATATAGAGCGTAATTTAAAAGGTGATTTTGTATATAATGAAATGATTAGAGATCCTATACCACTTATCTTAGGGATATCAGGGGGCGGAACCACACCCCTGGAGCACCGCCTCGCATAAGGGGTTAGCAGATTATGTATAGCCAACGGTCCAGCTGTGTAATAATAGCAGGTTGCTAAAATATATGACTCTAGAGAGGTATATGCATGCATTAGCACACCTTGTCATGAAGATACCCAGAGTATGCACCATTAACACAGATAAGTGGAAACTTGATAGCCATAATAATAGTAACGAATGGCCTTAAGCCAAAAACATTTATCCTTGATGGTTTGATATAAGGCACCTGTTCCTTCTAGTACCTCTGTATGCAAACTCAAAGTCCTAGTCTGGGGTTATCGCCCAGGAATGGTTGTGCTTGATAGTTTGTACAATAACGCCCCCACATGTTTGACGCAGTGGAGCTGGAAAAATGCAAGTACCTTTTGCAAGCTAAAACTCCCAACGCCGCTTTTCAGATATCATTCGTCCGCTTTCGAGATTTATTGATCACTTCCTTTGAGATCCCTTTTTTGTTTTCGAAGGATGCGATTGGAAGACAATGGACGAACGGGCCTTCTTGCGTTTTTGAACACGCCCTGGCTTCTTAGAGCGACTTTGAGTGTGCTTAACAGACATTGTGTCGACGTCCATGTCTAGACGGAAACCGATATCAGCAATGTGATTTCTTCGCGGAGATTTGGTCTCCTCTGGGATGAGGTAAAGAAGGAGGGGCCCACCTTCATTTATTACTGATGGTTTGCTGTCTGTAGATTTGACTTGGCTACCTGTACAGTGGAATGAGACTGTTAATGGAAGAATGAACATGTAAATGGAAGAATGAACATGCAGTTGAACTATATCGAGCACTGATTGTGGGAGCAACGAACCAGTTCCTGTAGGATCCAATTCCATACTTGAAGTTTTGTGTTCTCTGATTATCGGCTGAGAAGCCAGCTCTTTCAACTTTGCAGAGAGCCTCTCTGTCCGCGCATCAACAGCAGGGCCAAAGACTGTAGCCCGGAGTTTGGCCCTGTTGCGCTTGGAAACACTGGCTCGAACACTCTTTGCCATTTTGTTTGTTTCGAGTAAATCTTAGCAAAGAACCTTAGCAGTTGTGAGAAAACGATCGGAGACGTTGATATCAGAAAGGTGGTGAACAATAGTAGGGAAAGTTGAAGTCGCGATATAGGTACAAGATATTTTTTCCCGAACTTCACTCTAGTCTCGTTCTGGGCCATCTTATGTCATCACTTCGGAAACCTTAGCTGGGTATTCGCTCTGTCGCACTCAGATGCGACAAGAGCTCGGTCACAAATGTATACAGCTTCCTTTTGTTTTTCTTTTTCTTGTCTTTTTTTGTTCTTCTACTACTCATCTCATCTCCTTGCCGAGAATCGTTGTCAATAAAATAAGAGCTGAAATGTTTGTCAATAGAGCTGGCAATCTAAGCGCATTCGCCTCTAACCACACTTCTTGAGTTAATTTATACCCTGCCATCCGCACTCGTCATATCAGCTCGGAATCATGGCCTCTGCCGTTCAGTCGTCTGAGCTCCAGAGCGTTGTTGCTTTGATAAAGACACTCACGAATGCACAGCTTAAAGATATCCTGAGGAGTGAGGGGCTCGCTGTTTCTGGTGTTAAAGCTTCGCTACAACTCCGGATAATAGACTGTTCGTTCTCCCTTTATTTGCTATTTTGTTTTCATTTCAATTGGTGTTCAAGAACACTGAGACTGCCCAGAACACTGTTGACTGAATTATCTAGATATTGAGCGACTCAACCAAGGAGGACATACTGAGCGTTATGATAATCTAAGGAGATTCATTTATGCTACAGCGCATCGCGCGATGCCTGGGACATCAACGACACAACAACCTCTGCCAAGTCAACCATATCACGCATCACCTATTACCCAGTCAATACAAACACAGCATAGGCCAACGCCTTTGACTATACCGATGTCATCGCATGGATTCACACCTGGTAACCTGTGCACGCTTCATTTCTCTATGATCGTTGCTCATGTGTTTTCAGGCCGCATTACTTTCAAAGACAGCCCGTTCTACACAATCTTGGAGCCGCTTACTCCTACTGTAGAATGCAAAAGTGAGCATTGATCCTATCAGTTGAGATCAACCGCCAGTCAAGTCTAACTTCTTAAGTACGCGAGCAAACCAGGGACAATGTCGAGCTGAAAGTCATCCTCACCCCAACTGTAGCTTCAAGATTGCAAGCTGATCCCAATCTTCGGGTAATGGTTTATTGCGCAGCGGACAGTGGCCTCAATCAATACACCAAGTCCGATATTGCTTTCCCTCACCAAGTTGAGCTCAAAGCGAATTTGGACGAGGTCAAGGCTAATCTGAAAGGCCTCAAGAATAAGCCTGGTACAACGAGGCCCGCGGATGTGACGAATTATATCCGCATAAAGCCCGGGTATCCCAATCATATTGTTATGACTTATGCGCTTACGCAAAAGGCAAGCCGTCCCTTTCAGGCCCACCCATGCTCAGCTCATTCCATCATGTCAATGCACATTATGTATTCTTCCTGACTATCTTGTAGAGATTTTTTGTTCTTGTGAACCTAGTCCAGCGCCATCCCATTGAGGACCTTGTCTTGGAATTGAAGAGGAGGAAAACGATCACAAAAGAGCAGGTATTACGAGAAAGTATGTACCCGTCTATCCTTGCCCTGCATTGAATTCCTCTAATGGTTTGCAGTGAAGAATAGAGCGGAGGATTCTGACATCGTTGCCACCTCCACTGTCATGTCCTTGAAATGTCCTCTTTCCACGCTGCGGATCGAGGTCCCCTGTCGCACAGTCGTCTGCACGCATAACCAGTGTTTCGATGCATCGTCGTTCTTACAGCTGCAGGAACAAGCGCCTACATGGTCGTGTCCGGTTTGTTCCAAGGCCACCAGCTATGAATCATTGCAAGTTGATCAGTAAGCTGCGCGAATTCGCAACTGTCACGTAAAATACACTAACTGTGAAGATATGTTGATGATATACTTCATTCCACATCGCCGGATGTGGAACAGGTCATTATTGAACCGGACGGGAAGTGGTCGAGTCCAAAGGAAGACGAGTTCAAAGGTGCTGGGGGCGTCACTCCGGCGACAGAGGACGAGGACGAGTTGATCGAGATCAAAGAACCTGGAATTGTGCATGTGAAGCAGGAGTCACTCTCAGCATCGGGCCTCTCCCTAGAGAGGACACCGGCTCAATCCCGGGAGCCGTCAGCGACATCATCTGCAGCTCGTCTGTCCACTAACAAACGCTCGGCAGCCCAAGTGATCGATCTGACTGGCAGTGATGATGATGGCGATCTTTCCCCAGTCAGACCAGCTAAGCGTCTGGCATCAAATGCTCCCCATCGGGCTTATGCTCGACCAGCATTTCGTAACTCGTTTAGCAGCGGCCTTGTAAACGGAGGAAATTTCTCCTTTACGAACCAGACTAATTCGGAGTCCCCTAGACATATTGGTGGTTTTGATGCATGATGAGATCTAGCGAGGCATATTTGCATGGGGGCATGGCGCAACTGGGTTCAGGCGTTATTGCTGGGAATAGGCACGTTGGGCGAGTTTCGATGAGGAGGAGTAACATTAGACATGGTCCAATAAACCATGTTAGTTGGTGAGGTAACAACAGCTCACTACTATTAAATTTGGCTCATCTCCCACATGCATTAAACGCCCTCATGGCTCTGAACATGTTCATTGAAATGCAGATGCTACAGATGATCAATCTGGATGTAGATTGTGCCATTAGAGATTTATAGTAAGTTGAATTTGTCAGTGTAGTAGGAAAGTTGATAGTTCTTGAGTTATTTGAGAGTTGTTGTAATTACAGAAGTCATGCGGCAGAAGTTAGGGAGAAGTGTATGTGAAGGAGATCTGAAGTCCAAGCATTACCGTATCAAAAGGTCCAAATCACGTTGCGGAGTTCTGAGACCACCTCCGCAAATACTCATAATCACGGATATGGAAAACGAAGTTTATCTGAGCTGACGTTTAGCGTTATCCTACAATTTTCAGATTGGAAATAACGTATTGTATATCTCGCAGACAATTTCCACACGGACTCATCGAGATGTCGTTTGATGCATCTGTCTCATCTATCAATAGCTCTGATCCTCATGCTCGCTTCCTGAGTACCTCATGCCTAGACTTTCTTCTGATAGAGCTCGTTCCCATGGCCGAACGCTTAGCAAGGGAATTGGCACTCAATGACAAAGCTTCAGATGTTGACGAAATCAGGGAGTCGACATTCTTTCGACTAGAGTCTATAGGCTACCGAGTTGGTCAAGGACTTGCGGAACGGTAAGCCAGCGACACATTCTGTCTAGTACTTGAGGGAAGGAACATGTGTTCGGATGAACATAAGGCAGAGGCGATCTCCCTGAACGGGGCTTGACTGAACGCAAATGCAGCTGACATATCCCTCTCGCCTCTTCTCACCGGGCAGATTTTCTCGCGATCGCCCTCGTTTCACAGACAATCTCGATGTTATCAAGTTTTTGTGCAAGGATCTGTGGACCATTCTTTTCAGGAAACAAGTGGATAATTTGAAAACAAACCACAGGGTTAGTACACGGAAGCGACATTAGACCAAACTTATGCGCTTGAGTCTTCAGGGTCTTCAGGGATAGAAGCTGACAGTGATTATCCTATCTTTCAGGGTGTCTACGTCCTCACAGATAACTCGTTTCGACCATTTGCAAGAATGAGTACGGCTTCTCGAAGCGAGGCGACTGCTATGGCACAAGCGGTGGGCAAGACCCCATTTTCCTACCTTCATCGTCATTCTGACATTTGGACATGACCCCAGTTTCTCTGGTTTCCATGCGGCGTCATTCGAGGTGCTTTGTCGAACATGGGCATTGCCACCACTGTACAGGCTGAAACGTCTGAGCTTCCCGGGGCGACGTTCCAAATCAAAACGGTTCAGCCAAGGCCCTGAACGCTGGGGACGGTGAATTTGCCTAGAAGGCACCAGTATGAAATCACAACAAAGACCCCTCTTGTCTCTCGTCCCGGTGGCAGGCTCAATTATCTCCTTTACACTGCAACAGGGCTCACTTTAAAAGCAAAAAGAAAAAAGAAAAAAAGGATTTATTCGTTTCTGCATGCATGTCTCTAGGGCCCTGCATTTCAAGAACCTAAATGATCAACCCCACGGCGACCTCCATCAGTCTTCATCAATCTTATAATTTAAAGCCTATCTTTCCGGGATAGCTATGATTAGCGACGTCCTTTTCAATTCTGGTAAGCTCATCGGGGAGGGGAAGATGCCACCGACAAGCGCTCTTCAGGGAAGACAACGGTGCGGCTGGCCAATGGGGGTGAGCTTGTTTGACGGGGATAGGCGAGTTTACTTTGGTGGGGTATTCTTGACGAATTCGATGCCCTTTTCGATGTTGCCCTTAAGGCCCTTGGTGCAAGCCTCGAGGAGCTTCTTTTCCTGCTCGGTGACGCCCTGGAGAATGTTGATGGCTTTCTCCGCGCCATTACGCTTTTTTTGCATTTAGCATGTACTATATGAGAATGGTCTGTGCTGAAGACGTGGAAACACTTACTCCGAGTTCGACAAGGGTCGAGAAGAACTCAACACCAGTCTCGTTGGCGATTTCCTCACCACCAGTGACACCTCGCAAGTAAATGTAAGTGGGTTCGACAATGCCTGACTGGCCCTGCGAAGCCCTGATAACCTTTTCGGCAAATCTACCTCGAATTAGCAGGTAGGCGGATTCAAGCTCCGGAGAAAGTGGCAGACCTGAAGCCGGCATAAGCCATGGACAAAGTGGCGGAGCCGGCGCCATCTTTAGCCTTGACTACCTCATCTCCGCCGAACTGGACACCTACGGAGGAGTCAGTCGCCAGTTGCAAATAACTGTAGATATAGTGCAGACACTCACGGTTCACAAGAGCGTCATACTTGTCTGCAGGAATATCCAAGGCAGGGGAAGCCTTGCTAAAGAGGGGAACGATGGTCTCGCCAGAGTGCCCGCCAACAACAGGAATCTGAATCTTGGATGGGTCCTTCTGTCCGGAATATTCTTGAGTGAAGGTCTCTGCACGGACAACATCCAGAGTGGTGACTCCAAAGAGGCGCTTGGGGTCGAAGACACCCTGTTTCTTGAGCACCTCAGCGGCGATTGGGACGGTGGAGTTTACAGGATTCGAGATGATGAGTACAAAAGCCTTGGGGCAGTACTGTGCAATTCCCGTCACCAAGTCGCGGACGATACCAGCATTCACCTTGAAAAGATCGTCACGACTCATGCCAGGCTTGCCTGTTGGGAAGAATTTGAGTCAGAAGAGCATGAATTATTTTATTTATTTCTGGCGAATAGGAGTACTAACGAGGGATTCCAGCAGGAATGACGACAACATCAGTGTCAGTCAATGCATTCTTCAGACCATCGTCTTTGGGAAGGTAGCCGGATACTTTCTGCAAGTGCGAGTCAGGAACGAGGATTTAGTCACTCGAGTAGATGGGTTTAGGACGTTGTCACATACAGCGACAGAAGAGATGTGAGACAGATCCGCAGCGACGCCGGGGGTGTTGACGACATCGTACAGAGCGAGCTCATCAACCAGAGGGCATGCCTTCAACAGAAGAGATAGAGGCTACAGACGCGACGAGAATGAATATCAGTACGTAACTATATGATGAGCTGTGACCAATAAAGTCAGAGGGTACATACCTGGCCAATGCCACCAGAGGCTCCGAGAACAGCTATAGGAATTAATTAGTAGGATAACTCGTTCGGTGGTCTCTAAAGGAAGCCGATCAGATGCTTACCCGCCTTGACCATGATGAGAGATTAGAGCTTTATGCTTGGTAGCTGTCAATTAAGAACAAGAAAGCAACGTATCTGTATCGCGTGTGAGTAAGACGGACTGACAGAATCAGACCAACGCAGGATTGGGGAAATGTTGATGGAAGAAGAACGACGACCGGTCGAAGGGGAAAGAAAGCACTTGAGGTAGAGCGGGGGTGGAGCAGGAGGATAGAAGGAGCTACGGAGGGGCATGCAGGCTGTAGGGAGGGGTAACGGTAAACCAAACGGGAACAAACAACGCGCATATTCGGGGTTGGGAAGGGGATGAACGGGGAAGGCACAAACAAACAGCGCGAATTGTGGAAAAAAGAGCTATCTATAGGCTCATAGATTGCACTGGACGTACAGTTCTTGAGGAATTGATGATAATTTGTCCAAATTCTTTAAGTGATGGAGATCTAGAAGGCGAGACAAGAGCCACAACTTCTCTGTACAGTCATAATAAGAATGGCAATTATCTAGTTCTTATAGATACAGGACCGCGGCGACGGCCAGGTACGTAAGCCAGGTATGATGCCCATCAATACTGTCTTGGGTAGGTAAGGAAATAATGTATGTATGTCCAACCGTTATCCTGTCCTTATTAAGACTAAATTATTATAAATTACTATGATTATAGCTCTGTTGCTCTCATACAGACCTGCGTTGCGGAGGGGTAGACGGACAACGGAGATCACATGTGGGGAGTGTATTTAGGAGAGCTCCCACAGTTCTAGTCTGATGTTTGCGTATCTAGGTACACAGTAATCATTGATCTTACCGGAAACTTCCTAAAGACACCTAAGGTAATTACCCAAGGAAGATCAACCACTGACTTAACTGATCCATCGGTATTAAACGCTACCTATACTCTCCTTATGGTAGGTCTATATAGATGAATGATCCTGGGAAATCCTTTTCGTATCGTCTATCAGTTCTACCCTGCTGAGACTGTTTACCTAGTCTATAGAGCACCGGAAGTACATACCTATCTCCTACATCCAGTTCACAGCGGACCTATATCCATGTCCCCGACGATACTGTCATGATACAGGCCGAAAAACTTTCTCATGTGTCTTGGTCCATAAATGTACGTCAGAGTCCACTTGATCCTATCCGAAGCGCCCCAAATTCCGGCAATTTTCGTGTTTCACGACATGTATCACCGAGGAACATACCGAATTTGTGAGTTGATTCCATCTATCCATCATGAACTCGGAAAAAGGCGGGTGTTGAGTGTTACATGCGGCAAAAGCTGAAAGCTCCAAGCTCTATCCCAACAGGTTCTAGAATACGTTTCGGCCCGACAATCGGCTGCAATCGTTCAAAATCCGGAACATGTGCCAACTGCAAGTAATGACGATGCCGTACGAAATCTATCAGTAGAGAACTACGCGAGCTAAATTACGAAGTTTTTGTCCTATGGCCCGGCAAACGTAATCTAGACTCAACCATTCTGCACGGCATTTGATTCTCGCGTTCATTTTTATGGTGCTGAGATTGCTGATGGCCTTGGAAGGACAATACCCAATAACGATATTGCTAAATTACAGGGACGCTTTCGCCCTTGACCAGCACGGCTCTATTTCAGTCGACGCGCCCGTTCCTTGACCTCTTGTCTTCGGCGTTTTTGTTGCTCTGAATTTGTATTTACTCCGACTTCTGTTCCGCAGCCTTTCTGGCCTGAGCGCCTCTGAGCTTCTTGGGGGCAGCGTCCTTCTTGGGCTTCTGGGAGCGACGGATGGCGCTCACACGAGCAACGGCGTCTTCACGGAGGTCGGCGCGGTAGCCGTTCTTGGCGGTCTTGCTTGCTACAGCCTTGTAGATCCTGTGCCATAGAACAATGCCCCTTATTAGCAAACCGGCCTGATACAATGCCACCCGGTAAATCGGTGAGATATAGGTTGTTCTGCTTACTTGCGGGTGGCAGCGTTAGGGCCCCAGCTGACGCTGACCAGGTTCTTCGCGGGCTGCTGAGGGTTGCCAGGCTTCTTGGTGATGACAACAACACCGCCGTTCTCAGTAGCCTGCACACCGACCGCCTGTTCATAAGAGCTTAGATACAGTTCCTCTTTATTATCGAAAGTCTGCAAGTTGATAATGTATGAAGTACCTTGGTGTTGGCATAGCCAGCATACTATACAGAGTATTTAAGTCAGCGTTTCTAGTGCAATTGAAATCCTAATCATTCTTCAGGATCGTACCTTGAAAGACTGCTTGTTTTGCAGGTTCAGGGGATCGCGGGAGAACTGGGAGCCACCACCGGTCCTCCGCTTGACCAGAAAAGCATTCTGGCTGCCTGTTCAGAGCATATGAATCAGCAAAAATTAAGGAGATTAACGGACAGTATTGGCGGAGCGAAAGACAGAAAACCCCGTTACTCTGGAGTAAAAAGGTTAGGTAACGGCAAAAAGAGATAAACGTACGAGTGATCTGCCAGACAAGGTCGCTGGAAACGTTTGTTCTTTCGGCGGCCATTGTGAAATGTCTCTTTCAAGCTGATTGAATGGGAACAGATCGAACTCGACGCGAGGCTGGTATACTTTAATTGCCTGGGATCGTTATTGTGTGCGCTCGTGCCAAGAACAGAATCCAACAATCTCGCTAAGGCGACCGTTTTCGGCATAGTCTGACCTTCAAGGTTAAGTCATTCAGGAAGAGCCCCCAAAGAAGTGCGCCGCCTCCCTTCTCCCCACACCGGCCAGGCTGCTTCCAATCATATCTTGGTGCCGATGAGCTACCTTATCCGTACCTTACGTGCTAGCCAAGGTACTCCGAACCTGCCTTTCTCAGCTTGATATTGATCCGGCTTCAACATTGTTGGGCATGATATTTTGAGTGCCAACTATATTTCACCGTCTTCCTGTGCAGATGCTTACTTTGTAGCTGGTTGTGGCAGTATCCTGCCCAGCCAGCCCTGAATGAATCCTTGAGGAGTTGCCACACATCACGAATCCCATCTGCCTTGCCGCCAGTATTCCGGTACACCCGCAGTAGGAAGTCATATTAACTGACATAGCAACATCAATATTTACTCGCCGAAGTCCGTGTAATTGCATATACGCGCGTCAATATGGCATACTATACTCTTTATTTCCTCACCTTTGCAGTCGTGATTTGCGGGACCGGTATGTCTGATCCACAAACTGTAGACCCTGGTTGTAACCAATCTGACGCCCGTTGGCAGCGCTCTATCTCACCCGGTCCCGGTGGTTGCCCTTAATCCCAGTCCCGGATCATATCTATGCTCGCCTTCCCTCCAGCTTTGCGGGGGACCTGGAGGCGGGCCTCTCCTCATCACAGTTCGATATATCGTCCAACATCGCAGATGGCGACACAAGAGCTGGCTTAGACAACAAAGCAAAACGCGAGGTGCAGAAGATCATGAAGACGCAGAATGTTAACTTCGATGAAGCTCGACGCATCTACACAGAACGACGGTTTGCTACCCACAATATCGGTCCTGACGGTCGGCCAAGGGACCCGAAGTTCGTGTCATTCTCTTAACCACTGCTCCTGCTCCGATTTCTAATTCCCTATCGCTGTTCCTGTCGCCTATCGTTTGCACCGCCATTTGGAATCTGCCCTTCCGAAGCAGCAGTTGCTCTTCTTCGCTGACCCAGCTTTCATTTACCCTTCTCTCATTTCCTTATGCTCATCATGTCCCTGTTCTGAAGTCCTACCACGCAGGAGGAAACAGCTATGAATGAATTATTTGATGCAACCGAATGTCACGTCTTCTATCGTAATCAAAATATGCTGGCCATCTTCGTAGGTTGTCTGTATAGCTAGATGCCAATATCGCATCAGAGTATGAGCAGTTCACTTGCCACGTCTCATATGAACCAAGTACAAACGCAATATATGCCCGCCGGTGAACGATACCACTTTGGGTAATAACATGCTGCCTCACGGCAAGACTGATGGAAGGAATATATAACCCTGATCAATCATGTAATTTCGCCCCCAAACTTCTACCTCATTATCAATGGATTAGTTAGCTCAATAGTGCTCGTAGAGAACAAAAACAGATGTGCCATGTAGTGGCGTGCTTTGATACACAAGATAGGGAATAACCTGAACTACATGCTCTCGTCGACTCGTAACGCAGCGAAACTGGGGAAAAGACCATTGTCGTCAAAAGTGATGCATGAGAGACATATTTCTGCATCAATGCACGTTTAGAGTGCGAATACAAGCGATCCAAAGCTCAGCGGCCGCCACCATAACCAGGTTGCTGGAAGCCCGGTGGTAATGGTGGAGGGTTAGGGGTTCCTGATGGGGGACCGAAACCCGGTGGCGCGAACCCCGGCGGCGGTGCTGCTTGCTGTGGGAAGGGTGGCTGTTGACCAGCAGTATTGAAACCAGAGGGGAGAAATGTCTGGGGGCCACCGTAACCGGCTTGCGAGGGCGGAGGTCTTGCCGGCAAACCGGGAGGTGGGTTTGCCAAGGGAGCGGTAGGAGGGAGTTGTCGATTAGGTTGCGGCGGAGGTACGTTCTGAAAGCCCAAGTTAGGCGGCGGTACGCCTCTTCCCGTCGCTAATTCCGGAGGAGCGGCGCTCAACGCTTGTGTGCCGTCTCCATTAGCCATCCCAGCGGCTGCCATAGGAGTTCCTGGGCTGGAAAATTGCGGAGGAAGCGGCTGCGTTGGCGGACGGACATTATGCTTGCGAGCCTGCGCAGCCAGCATTCGTTCTGCCTGATCACCATGCCTTTCGCCTTTGCCGTCTTTTTTATAGGCGTACTGCACGGAAACTTGTTTGTTCATTAGATATTGCCCGTTCATGTTGGCGATAGCAGCATCCGAGGACTCGAAGTCGGCAAATGATACGAATCCATAGCCCTTGGAAAGGTTGTTATCATCGCGTGCAACCTACAGTTTGTTAGCTCGTTGCAGAAGAGGCGAAATTCCTTTATTAGGCAGGCAATTATTGTCGCCTTACCTTTGGAATATTGACGAGCGTTCCGAAGCGACTGAACGTATCATAGAGGACCTGCTCCGTGACCAAAGGATCAAGGTTTCCAACGAAGAGCTCTGCTCCGATTTCCACGGCTTTTTGTTTATCGGCAGATGCCTTGTTGACTCGTATAGGTTTCCCATAAAGGCGAATCCCGTTCATTATTCGCGAAGCATATTCAGCATCCTCCTCGCTTATAAATTCCACAAAGCCGTAACCCTGGTGTGACTGCGTCACTCGATCTTTGGGAAGGTGAACATTAACGATGCGCCCAGCCTGCAGCATCAGCTCCCATACCAGGCTATCAGTAACCCGTTCATCGAGATTACCAATGTAAACGGTGGCCTCCTTATCTTGCTCCCTAGAAAGTTAAGAACCTCCTGGTCAATCTTTTGGTTTGCGTTGTAGCGTTGTGTCATAAGGAAAAAGGCGGTTACTCACCAATGCCTCGCGCCGGACATGTTGCCGACTCTCAATTTAAGGTAGCTGACTGTGGTCTTGAAATCAAATTCTCGTTGGAGGATAGGGAAAGATACAGGACACTCTGGACAAAAAAGATGTGTGTCAGACGTGTCAGTGGTTGTAAGTTTGGATGTGGTTTGCAAGAACGGGTATCTTGCGGACTTTGGGGGTAGCTTTTTTTGCCTCGAAAATTCCCCGAAAACTCTTGAGCTTCACCTGCTCATCTCTAACTCCGCCCAAGCACTCCGCATTCCATAACCTCCTGCGCTGACTCTACTCTCCTTTCCTGGCTCCAAGGTCCGGGTATTGATATAATTATTTCCCGTTCATCCACCGAAATGGTTCAGTTTTCCGAGGAGACTAAGGTTGGATCTTCCGTCAATGGAAATGTTCTTAGTCTATATTCCCCTGCTAACCAGACATTTTGATCTCTAGGAGCGAATCTCCAAGGTCATTGACGTTTCGAGAGTCGCTATCCACTAGTAATACCCCCTTTCGGTGAGGGTTTCTCATTCTGGTTACAGTATTGACGGTTCTTTTTACGCAGTGGCTATCTGCCTCTGATCATCTATCTGGGTATGCAACTCGCCCCTCAGATCTTAATCATATCAGAAATCTCACGATGAGAAACAGGCTACACATACAGCGAACCCAGACCCTCTCTTTTCAAGTATTACCTCAGCGAAATCTTACTCCTTCGATTCCAGACAGCTGATCCTCCCGACAGGTTGTTTTCGCCCCTCGCTTAAAGAAAACGATGACGGGAACTGGGGATTATGAAAACTGGTTTTCAGATTTGAGTGCATGCTCATTGTCATCCTCGGCACCTGTTTCTCTCCCGGACATAAAGGCTATGAGGAGGTAATGGAGATTCACGAGCCCTCTTTCCTACTTCATGTCGATGTCTTGGAGATGACATTGACACTCATGTATTTCTAAAGTTGTTTCATGTTTGCGAACTGTTTTAATAGACTGATGAAGTTGTTTTCCTCGAGAAATGCTATGCCGTCCTAACGTTCATTCTGGCAAACTAATAACTCGCGGCAAATGGGCTCATCCTCGCAGGAATGGTGTTCAGTTATCAAGAAAGATTCGTATGTGTATAAAGCTTTGTCGAACCGGACAGCCCTTCGCCTCTCGTGTAGAATATAATTCATTGGCCATCGCCTCAACTTGAACAATTGCGTGGAGTTGGACCGCCTCGCCGGATTGCTGCGCTTATTGCCGAGGAGCAAAAAAGCAAGACCCGCAAGTATGCGCAAACAACTCTCATGCACGCTGTTTCGAAGATTGGCTCTCCCGAAAGTCCGTTCACGCGCTCCCAAAAGATTCCGAAGAATCACACACAATTTTCATGACTATTAAGGATGGCCTGTCGTCATCCTTTGTGGAGACCATAGCAGGATTTACAGCGGGAATAATCTCTACGCTCTGCCTCCATCCGCTAGATTTGTTAAAGACAAGGCTACAGGGTACGTGACTCGACGCGTATACTACTTCCCGAGTAGGTCAGAGGACATGTTCATGGAGCTTACGCATGCGCAAACTGAGACTTAGTTGACCGATCCTCGCCTTCTCAACTTGGTGGATCGCTCCGTGTCATCCGTGAAATCTCACGCCGAGAGGGCGGTATCACCGCATTCTACCGAGGGTTAACACCCAACATCATCGGGAATTCCACCAGCTGGGCGCTGTACTTTCTTTGCTATGGGAAGACGAAAGATCTGATGCGGAGGCTCCGCCGCTCCCGAGTGCCAGAGCTCACCTCGGCTGACTACTTTGTTGCATCCGGACTGGCAGGTATGATCTTTGCGCCCATCTGCGTTTCATTGGACTTCAATGCTCACGAAATCACATCTACTAATTGCACTGTATTTGCTTTAGGACTTGCCGCATCGGTTTTGACGAATCCTATATGGGTGATCAAAACCCGCATGTTATCCACCGGTTCCAACACCCCCGGAGCCTATGCGTCTTTCACCACCGGTGTAGCACAGATCTATCGCTCAGAGGGTATCCCTGGCTTCTACAGGGGCCTTTTGCCCGCTTTATTCGGAGTCAGTCATGGTGCTCTTCAGTTCATGGCGTATGAGAAGTTGAAAGCTTATCGTACAAGGATGAGTTCGGCTTCGCATACCAGTGGCGATAGCATAGGTTTAGGGGTAACACCGGCACGACAATTGGGGAATTTCGATTTCTTTCTCACCTCAAGCCTTTCAAAGATCTTCGCAGGCTGTGTCACCTATCCATACCAAGTGCTGAGATCTCGTCTGCAGACATACGACGCTCACCTTGTGTATCGTGGTGTTCGTGATGCAATGGCGCAGATTTGGGCTCAAGAAGGGTTTGCTGGTTTCTACAAGGGCTTGGGCCCGAACCTCCTCCGCGTGCTACCAAGCACATGGGTAACCTTTCTGGTGTATGAGAATACCAAGTCTTGCCTAGCTTAACATCACGACAGCAGAGGCCGCTATTCAGTTGCCGAAGGACATATCATTAGCACATAGTCATGAGAGCGAAAATTCCGTATTGGGGACTATCGTCCACCCCAAGCATGATGCTTCAATTCTTGTCAGCCAATCAGAACAATTAGTAGATCGAGCCACATGTGAGCCTATATACTGAAACATGTCTGTTGATGTTGGTTTCTGTACAGGACTGACCCTTTCCGTCGTGCAGCCGAGCACTGTCCTCAATGATGCTATCCCTCAATAAACCCCGTAACACACTATCACCCGCGAACTCCAGAAAACATATGAGCCTGAAAGCAAATGAGGGTAAGAAGTACATCAATTAACTGGACAAAAGAAGCGCAAGTCCAAGACAGACAAAACTTGGTATCTCGAAAAAAAAAAAAGAAAAAGAAAAGAAAAAGAAAAGAAAAAGAGTAATAGAAAAAGAAAGAAATCCCAAAGGCAGAGAAAATGAACATGAAGCTGAATGACTGAAATAACACCGTTCAATGACCTCTTCTATCGGTGTAATAGATTTCGGGGTCCTCTTCTTCTCCGCTGGAGCTGCCAGTATAGGCAGACGAGGCTTCACGACTGTCGCGTGACGCCTTGATGTCCTCATCACTTTCGAAAGACTGCATTCGCGTGCATGAGGCAGAACTGTCACTGGACTTGGACGTGGGGGAGATCCTCCGATCCTTGCCACGACCCTTGATGCCTTTGTTGCTGTTTTTATATAGGGTGGCAAAGTACTCCCAAAGCTGGCGATCCTGAGGGTTCATGAGTTGCGCCTCGGACATTTGAGAAAACTTCAGAGTCAACGTCCTTAGCGTAGCGGCGTGGAACTTGTTTTGGTGCGACTGTCCAATCCATTAGCTCAGAGTCTCTGGGACCAGAGCCACGTGTTTCATGAGACAATATACCTTGAGGTTACCCAGCTGAGTGAACTGTTTCCCACAGTCATCGAGTAGACAAGTGAAGGGCTTAGCATGTTGGTGAGTGATCTTGTGGGCACGAACATTGCCTCTTTGGGCGAATCGCTTCTGGCAGATATCACAGGAAAAGGGCTTTTCGCCCGTATGGCGTCGTTGATGTGTCTAGTTATGGCCATTATATGTCAGGATGCGATTCCTTCATCATCGGTAGAGGGTTCTCTCGGTGCGTTACCTTGAGATTGCCCAATTGGGAGAAACGCTGTCCGCAAGAAGGCTCTTTGCATACCTTACGGCGAAATGCAATGTCAGAATTCGAGGTTCCGAGAATGTGGGTTTATTGTTGGGTGCACTTACGAAGGGCTTATCCCCAGTGTGGGCCCTCATGTGGATATCCAAATGAGTCTTCTGGGCAAAGCTCTTCCCACAGTTGGAAAGTCGACATATGTACTTTCGTTTCTTTCCCGGCCGGGAAGCGAGCTCCTCAACCGCCATGTTGCATCGCGGAGTTGACGAGGCCATGGCATAGGAGGTCTGAGAGAAGCCATTCTCACCGCTGTGTGTCAACTGTTGGAGAGGTGGTAACGACTGTAGAGCCGACTGTTGAGGGACAGCTTTTGCTTGAATAGCTTTCATAAGGATGTCTACCTCCGTTGAGAACTCAATCTCAGTCGAGCCGGGGCCCTTCTCCTGGGTAGCCCCAGTGGCCGGCGGTTGAGCCGCTGCAATAGGTTGCGATGATACGCTCTGTTCCGACTTTGCCAATGGCTTTCCCACAATGCGACTGATGGCGTTCTTCGCTGGGCGGATGTCGGGAATTTGTTGAACGGTTGGCGGTTCAGATGAGAGACGTACTGGCTGCAAATTGAGCGATGGATGACCCGTAAGATAGAAGTGTTGGTAGCCCGGGAGTTGATGGGGGTGCTGGTTTATCGTATGACTGAAACCATACGGCGTGGAAGACGATTGGTGATAGGGCAAAGGAAAAGAGGTAGCCGGGTTATTGTAATAAGAGAAGTTTGACCCAAGGCCCGCGTGCAGTAACCGACGAGGAGCCATTGAACCCATTGCATGGCCGGTGAACTCGTATGAAACTGGTTCTGCTGTTTCCATTGTGTCGCGAACAAGGTGAGATTACGTTGGATGTCGTGGAATCCCCAACCCTCTCGATTTCAATATCTATCTCTCTCGGTTTCTCTTGACAGAAGGACGGCGAGGATCTAAGAATCCCATAGAGGTCTCCTTGACGGTCCCTATCATGTGAGGAAGCACAGTTGGGCTCTCGAAGGCTTTTGAGGTTCAAATTGCTGTGCCAGGTGTTCGGTCACTTTCGATCCCCCAATGCCAGCTTCCGAAAAGCAAAGAGGTTCCAGTAATACTTCGGGGTGGATGAGGTAGGTCAGAGACGCAGAAGATCTTACGAATGAGCCTCTGAAGGCAAGCAAGACAATGTCATAGGTGGATGGCCAAAGTACCCACAAGTGTACTGGTGCACTGGCAATACCAGGCCTTTCCTGGGTATTGAGAATAGGAAGACTGAACAAAGGCAAATCAATATACGACAATGGGAACAATGGGAAATTGAAAGAAGATATGGGGTAATCGAATAAGAAG